GACTTCACCACGGTGTGATTCATCCATGCATCAAAAAAACCACTTGTACCCCCTAAATCTATTGGGGAAAAAAACCCAAAACGGAATTACAGCTCCTAAGCCAATCATAAAAAATACTCAGCCCAAAAGAAGGCGGAAAAAGAAGAAAAGGGGAACAAAGAACAAACGGGTCAAAAAGAGAACAGGTAGCCAGATGACGGACTCGAACACGGCTCTGTCAGTCATCACAGTAACCGTGAATCGTCTGAGCACCCCAGTTAAGAAACAGAGTTTCCCAGAGTCAGCTACCTGCCACCTATAAGACATGTACTTTAAACATAAAGGCACAGACGGTCAGAAGTAGAAGGATGACAAGAGATACACCACACTAACACTAGGACGCTGGGGTCGGTACATCCGAATCAAAGAGATTTCAGAGCAGAAAATATTACCAGAGCTAAGGCAGTGCACTTACCATAACAAAGGGAGGAACTAGCCGTCCTAAACATTTACATACCTAGTAACAGAGATTCGAAATACATGAAGCAAAAATGACAGAACTATAGAACTACAAGGCAAAATAGTTAAATCCACAATTATAATTATTAATAGATATTTCAATACTTTTCTATCGATAGTTGATAAAACAGTAAACAGGAAGTTAAAAACTAAGGATACAGAAGATCTGAACAATGCTATCAGCTAACTGGGTCGAATTGACGTTTATGGACTCCACACAATGGAATATATATTCTTGTCAAGCGCACATGGAACATTTACCAAGACAGACCATATTCTGGGTCGCGAAGCAAGTCTCAATAAATTTAAAAGGATTCGAGTCATACACAGTATGTTCCCTAAACAAAATGAAATCAAATTAAATTAACCCAGAGGTTTGTTGATAGAAAATTAACGATAGGATATCCATGCAAGAGAATATAGTCCTTTGAGAAAACTAGTTTGGACAATTTGTACTAATGTGGAGAAGAGCCCCTGACATATCCTTACAGAATAGTATGCAAAACACCTCATTTTATTTGTGAAATTTTGTGGACTGTTAATACAAGCTTAGAAAAGTCTGGAAGATTGAAACTTTATTACTAGCAGAGGTGGTGGTCTGGCTGATGAGCTGTCTAAATTGTAATTCTCCCTAATGTTTGAATTTTTACAAGAAGATATTTACTTTTCAAATCAGGTATAGCAATAAAAAAATATTAATCACTGCTTAAACCTGAGCATCTTGGTCGAGCCCCCTCTGGCTTAGACGGTTCCTTGGTGGCGAGAAGCGTGAGGCAGGAGAAAGCTCTGGCCAGATGTTCCCGAGAGAACGCTGAGGGGCACCAGTGCTGTGGGTGGACAGCCACATACAGAGAAAAGCAGGGTTTGGAGAAAAATGAAAGTCAAGTGTTGAAGGAAGCAGGGACCCAGCAGAAGGCAAGGACGGTCTGACCCCGGACAGGGCCGGGCCGTGGGGGTGGGACGTGGCGGCCGCAGGGGGGTGGGACGTGGCGCCGGCACGCAGCCGACCCTGCCTTCCCTTCCTTCCCTTCCAGAGCCGTCTGCACTTCCTGTAGCGTGAAGGTAAGCACCGTTTGGGATCTTTGGGGTGTGACTGAGGTAGGACAGGACTCCGCTGTCTTCCACTGGATGTTGGTGGTCCCGTCCTCACTGGAGCCTCATCCAGCTCCTTCCTCCAGGCCAAATCCATGCCTGCGCCTTTCCAGAC